AAAAAGGTGGTTTAATGGAATAAAAACAACATGACAACAAAACAGGGTCCATAATACATACAACAAGGGAAGGGCAGTGATGACTAAGGAGACCAGGACGGTAAACACACAAACTAAGGACAGGAACTAGAATAGCAGGAGGATGAAAACGGACAGGTGAACAAAAAGAACCAACGTAAACAATGCAATCCACAGCACAGGAACTGTCAGCGTGGAAGACAAAGCACGTATTTCTGTGTTGCTAACCGCATAATTAGCGTGATAAGGTCAAGACAAAACGCACAGAGACTGTCAGCGTAGCATCTTACACACGTCTAAAAAAATGCGGGTCAAACACAACGGGGGGTCTGCCAGAGGTATAAATAAGGAAGCCAACAAATCACCGGAATACGCCTCAGGTGTGCGCACCGACCCACGAGTCACTAATTACCCGCTGGGACACAGCTGAGGCGTTGATCCCGCAAAAAGGGAGAGCAGGAGAGGAAAAAAAGAAAGAGGCAGGTCGTGCCGAGTGGACCTGAACACTAATCATCTTGTGTTGTTGAAGCATACTGACACAGTAGACACACTGAATCATTTACCTTGTGGAAGCTCCTGATGTAGGCTGCCTTCTCGTCTGGGTACTTCTCTAACCGTCGGGGTCCTTTACTGGAAGCCTTCTTGAACACCAGCCAACACCTACGGAAGACCTGACAACAGAGAACAAGGACAACATCTTTAGTCAGACACACTTAGGTATTCCGCTTTATCAGGACTGCATAGGTGTGGCTTGATCAGATTTTGATTGATGTTTCCCAGCAATTTGAGCAAACCCTCTAATAGCCAACAGATTGAGTGTCAGATATTACTAAATCCTGTTTCAGGTGCAGAGAAATCTGAGATCACCATTTTCCATTTGACCAGTGAATAATGTGCACACAGAAATCTCAGGGGAAATTACCAAAACATTTCTTACTACAGCAGAACACTGTGTTCATGTAGAACCCTGCTGTTCACACATTGAAACAGACTGAGAAAATGTTTTCAGGGTTTTTAAATACAGCCCCACTGCCTTAACAGTTAAGTAATGGCTGAATCTTCATGCTCCACATTTCATTACTAACTATGGATGTAAACTATGGATTGCAGCAGCAATCACTGTGTGGAAGAAATTAGCTTTCCAGATTCAAGGTAAGGCACTGGCACCAAGCAATGGCCTAAAACCGGATCCAGAATGCCTTATGCGAAAGGGATTATAATATAAAAAAATGCATTAATCTCTTTTTTTTATGGCCTGAAACTATAGGCATTAAACTGAATTTCAGTATAGATGTGTATACACAAAACAAAGGTTGTTCCAGAATTGGAAGAGTGTTTAAAACAATTCAAATTCAACAAATTGTGTTCCCAAAAAACAGCACTCTGCTGTACAAGCCTAACAACTTTATAACTTAAATTCAAAATGGAGTAATGTGCCTCCATTTATTAAAAGTTGTGTAGCACACATTCTTTTACTTTTTTGCCACACAATGCAGATTACTTTGTATTGATTACTGGACCAATCTGACCCATTCACCAAGTAAAGATGACACAAATTTAAGGTGTTGCTTCAAGGTCAAATCAAAAGAAGCACACAAGTGCATAACTAAGAAACCAGTCACATTTTATATATAAATGTCCACTTTGGGGCGGTCTTGTATGCCTTCCTTCAAGCTCGGGTCCTCTACCAGAGGCCTGAGAAAATGTTTTCAGGGTGTTTAAATACACCATGCCCATTTTGTGCAGCTGACCACAATATATATATATACATGCACACACAAAGAAATTCATTTCTAACCCTTTATATCTTTTACAGCTCTCTCAGAAGATGAATCAATAAAATCAATATTATTTTTATTTGTTGTTTATTGCTGTTGGCTATTTCGTCTATTATTATAATCACCTTAATAGGGCAATTAGAAAAGCCAGAATTCTAAAACACATCCTTCTTCTTCACGCAGTCAGTGTCAAGGCATAAAAAGCCAACAAAGACAAAACCGTGCAGTTGAGAAGCAGAATTAAAGGAGCTTTCAGGTATGCACTGCGCTCGCCGCGTGGGTTGGAAGCAGCACAGGGGAGGATGGCACACAACTTTTTTAACTTAAGCAATGGTGCTCAGCTCGGCACAGCACAGATATGTTCTTGCACCACGCAGTACATAGAAATGAATGGGCTTGATAGCAGAGCGCACACTCACTGTGTCCTATCTGAAAAGGCCTTTAGTATGACAGCTCTGAGTCCTATATGGTTGCCTACTTTTATTAGTATGAGGCTTCTCTTTCCTGTTGGAAATAGCCACTGTCACCCTGCCTGATGTATGATTGCCCTGAGCTGCATGGTTGTGTTGGGGAACTATGAATGTACAATTAATTTGTTTACTCCGCTGGTATACTTCATAAAAGGCCCACTGAGTTGAACCTGGCACTTTGCAGTAATTGACTAGAGTGGATCCCTTGGTTCTTATCGGTCTGCCTTGATGGGCTTCCATTCTAGTTAAGTGTTGCCCAGGCCCATTATAAAAAGCAAACAACAGAGAATAGTGTGCACACACTCCCTAATGCACTGTGGATCACTCTCAACACTGTCCATAAAATGCTTTAAGCAAGTAAGGAAACAAAGGAGTGATAAAATCTTACTCCAAATTGAACACACTGTATTTATTTCCATAATAATGTGTATAAAAATAAAACAGAACTGCAGCTTTGACAGAAATGAGATTAGATATGAATTGCTTTTGACAATGTTCATGAACACATTTATAATTTTAAAAGAAGTCAAATTAAAACTAGCCTCAATTTGTCTTTGAGAGCTTAAGTCAAAGCAATGCTGCCTGCTTGGTGCACACAAGGTAATTAGTGCTCAGATTAAGTCATTATACCAGCACAAAAGCAAAGCTCAGTGAGACACCTTGCACATAATAAGAACATGGAGATATGAATGGAGAGGGTTTAATTTTGTCTGTTCCACAGTTGTCGGTGCTTTGTCAAGACCGTCCTATTCTTGGGCTGTTGGTGGGTCTTATTCAGAGACACCCTTATGCTGAGTGTAATTATACAGACATGAATGACACTCCGCTGGTTTAGTGTGACCCATTTAATACCAGAACAGTGTTGAATATACTGCTTGGCAACTCCAGAAACAATGTAATGAAGCGGGCAGCTCTGGTGAAGACAAAATGATCCTAGTTTTCACTTTGAGTTGTCCTCTGGCACAACGTGTGAAAGCAATTTGACCTCCACTCACCCTGTTAAGTCCCTGTGGTCAGCTGCACAAAATGGGCATGGCAAAACGTTAACTACACAGGGCTTGGCAAACAGTATCCCATAAATAGAAGTGCAAACAAAACTGAGTATGGTGGTATAAATATTCTTAAGATAAGATGTTCACTGGTCTCCATGAAATTATTGGATAATACCTGAGAGGTGTAGAAGTACTGTAGAGAATTACTATTGACTTTTTGCACATGTTAATAATTCATTGGCATTTATTTTACAGAGCAGACACGATAAGAGAGCATCACAATTGTCAAGTCTGCTTGAAATAAAATTATTGATTTTTCCCTTTGTGTCACTCAGGGAGAAAATCTGTCACACTGTGGCTGTTTTACTTTTTTCAGATCATAAACAAGCTGATTTGATAACATTCCTCACATGAGGCTTGAAGGGAGTTAAGATAGGAAGTGGGAATTAAAGGAAACTGGCTTCATGTGACTGTGAAAATAGGAAGTGGGAATTAAAGGAAACTGGGTTCATGTGACTGTCTCTATATCATAAAGCAGGCCCATTCTATGTTTGTTCCTGCAACCATGACAATGAAGGCATGATAACAACCCAGTGAATCTAGTAGGCAGGTCAGGGTTTTCCTGATCCAAAACTATGGTCAGATAACACGTGATAATGGGTGTCTGAATGCACCTCTGTGTGTCCTGACACTATCAAAGAAACGATGAGATCACTACACATAGCAAGCCAGTTTATAAAATAGGAGGCAGCAAAATTTCAAGGGAAATCCCTCCACTTTTAGGGAAGTCTGTTTGTGGAGAGGAAAACACTTCATCAGGCACTTGACAACGTGCAGCTAGTTCATCACCACCAGCTCTTCTATGATAAACATAGGACATAAGACTGGGACTGGGACAGGGATTAGAGCCAAAGTATGATCACAGACAGACAGATGGAAGTAGACTGTTTTATGGGCTCTTATAAACGGTTCAAAAGGAAGCTGATAACAAATCTGTCTACACATAAAGTTGTGTCTTTTTATGGGGTAGTGACATTTAATGTAACAATAAATGCCTTAAAGTTCAGCTTGGGTTCCTGACAGGTAGTACTGTCACAATATATCATAGAAATGACTACTGTATGTAAAACCACAACTGAGGGGTGTGGTGGAGAATTTGGAAACTCCACATGGACCCCAGTAATGTGCCACCTTTGAAAGCTCAGAAGTTTTCTGGAAATGGTCTCAAACACAATGTCCATTCATCTCAAAGAACATTATCAAACTTCAGGCATTATTGAAGAACTGTCTCACCTCTCAATAAAATATGTTCCCTATTCCTCCCACAGGCAAAATCACTTGTCATTTGGATGAGCTGACTAAAGACATAAAAATGATTTCCAATGACAGCCTGCTTTAGGTAAATGACTAATGACACACCAGAATAAAAATAGCCATCTCTTAAAATTTCTGGAGCACTAGCAAATAATGAAACACAATCACAATATCTCAGAAGCACAAATGCATTTATTCTCCCTCAGATAGTTGACGAAATAGAGACAGATGTGGGAAGGGTTTGTAACCCCTTGATGATTCATGTGTCATACAAACTATGATTTAAAGATGATTACTGCTGCAGTACAAGCCATGAGAGTACTTCAATCAACGTAGTCCTGAAACATTCAGGAGTGATGGTAGCAAAATGGATGATTTCCAATGACAGAATACTGAGCACAGCTATAGTGATGGTAATGTCAGTTTGACAGTCAACCAATTTGATCCAAACTGAAATAAATTAACATCACTTGAATGGATTGTCATAAAAGTCTACACACTCACTTGTGGTTTCTATGGGGTGAATCCTACTGACTTTGACGAGCTGCTCAGTTTACCCCTAGCTTCACCATCATAATGACATTTGTAGTTTTGGAGTTTAATATCTTGACAACTATTGCACAGAATTTGATAAAGATATTCAAAATATTAGTTCTAACAGTTTAAAATGATCCTGGAACCTTTCTACCAGTGCCCCCAGCATATCAAAACCTTGACTGCAGTAAAATACAGTATGTTAACATCTGCTTGACTGACAGGATGATGTTCTGATGACTTTGGTGAGCCTCTGCCTCCAGCAGGTGTACATTTCTGTTCTTTATTGGAATAACTCAACAACAATTAGATGAATTTCCATCGGTTTTGTTACATGCATTCCTGTTTTTGGCTGAGTAAAGTTCCAGTGTGGCTGCCTAGAACAAGTGGGGTTCGGTGATAAGTCTCCTCAGCTGCTCTCCTCGCTTCCATAAATGTTTGTGGTGATTTATTACACTTTTTCACAATTCGCACCTCCCAAATATTGGTTTTTAAAGTTAATGTGTAAAATTTTTATTACACTAATTTGTTGTTTTTTTCTAAAATAGTGCTAATCAATATTTGTGAGGTTTTTTAAACTAGA